ATTCCTTGTTTTATTGTTGTGATTATTTTTTTTCTTTTCTTTTATGTAAAGCACTTTGAATTACCATTGTGTATGAAATGTGCTATATAAATAAACTTGCCTTGCCTTGCCTTGCCTAATGTGCAACCGTTGTATTTGCAAACCCATTCTAGCATAGTAATTGTATAAATTATATTTAACCCTCTACCGCATGCATTATGATAGACCTATAGAAAAAAATATTTGAATCTTTTTCTTTTCTAAGAATGGCTTAACTTGAAGTGCTGTAAAAAAAAAAAATTGGAAAAAAATATTATTTTAAGGTACTTTATGATATGTTGCCATACGGCAACAGCATACAATAGCGGATCTAACTTAGAATAAGTGTAAGCTTACTTATAATTAATATTTTCCCTCAGAAATGTTGTTTGTGTTGATTCAATTGGTGCTATTATAAGCTTTAACACAGTACTTACTTATAATTGACACCTTATACATACTTTCCAACAACTTGTGCTTTTATTTATTCTATTCTTTTTTTGCTGAACAATGATTTATATTTGTTTTAATTTCATTACATTTTTCATGAATGTTATTTAAACTGCAAATTTATACAGTTAAAACAAATATAATACTGTATATCATGTATCATAAAACATTGACATAAAACCAAAAACATTGCAGTTCATGAAAATTCAGCATTATGCAATCTCTTGAGAGGAAGACTATGGACATCACCCATAAACTATTGTAATAATGTCATTCCACTATTGCACAGTGTTGCCACTTGGCAACACATACATTTGAATGATTTACCAAAAACGAATTTTATAAAAACTTTTTTGAGAGGTGAATATGTCATCATAACATCATAACAGTGATGTTTTAGATTTTTTTGTGGAAGTGACACGGACTGGTCCTTGTTTGTTACTGACGTTTTAGTTTGCTTTCAGCAACTACCGACAAGAGACAGCAGTCTGTCAGAAATCTCGCCACAGAAAAAAACTGCATGTCATGTGACTTAATCAAAGCACATCATTGGCTAAACTAAGGTCTTCTCTTTCCAACAAAAAAAACGAGAATGTTCTCTTAAAGACACAGTGGCAAGGAAATGAACACAAAGAGTATGTTGCCATATGGCTACACCATGCGGTAGAGGGTTAATTTTGATGCACGCTACCATTCAAAAGTTTGGGGTCATTAAGATTTCTTTAAAGAAATTCATATTTTTATTCAGCAAGGATGCATTAAATTGATCTAAAGTGATAGTAAAGACATTTATAATGTTAAAATAGATTTTAATTTCAAATAAAATAATGTGTTTTGAACTTTCGATTTGTCAAAGAATCCTGAAAAAATATATCAGTTCCCACAAAAATATTAAAGGGGTCATATGATGCTGCTAAAAAAAACATTATTTGGTGTAATGAAATGTGTTTATGCGGTTTAAGGTTAAAAAAACACATTATTTTCCACATTATTGTTTCTCCTCTATGCCCCACCTTTCTGAAACGCTTCGATTTTTACAAAGCTCATCGGTCTGAAAAAGCGAGGTGTGCTGTGATTGGCCTATGTGGGGGCGTGTTAGAACGAGCCGTTTTAGGTAGGCGTGGTTGACTTAACTTTTATAAAGAATATCTCTTTGGATTTGAGACTTTAGTCTTTGCAACTTTACAGATCTTCTTTATGCACCAAGAGCGTGTAACACTCCAAAGAGAAAGGAAAAATTTAAATCGCATCATATGACCCCTTTAACTGTTTTCAACATTGATAATAATAAGAAATATTTGAGCACCAAAGCAGCATATTATAAAGAATTCTAAAGGGTCATGTGTCACCAGAGACAGTAATGGCTTCTGAAAATTGAAGTTTTATTGTATTTTTGGTCAAATAAATGCAGTATTGTTGAACATAAAACTTTAAAGGGATAGTTCACCCAAAAATGAAAATTCTGTCATTAATTACTCACCCTCATGTCGTTCCAAACCCGCAAGACCAAAAATATCTTAATTTGTGTTCCGAAGATGAACGAAGGTCTTATGGGTTTGGAAGGACATGGGGCTGAGTAATTAATAATATAATTTTTTATTTTTGGGTGAAATATCTCTTTAAAAAAACATTAAAAAATTCTACTGACACCAAACTTTTGATCGGTAGATATATTTAATATTTGTTGCTAAGAAATATCCCATATTTTAGCAGGATTGCAAACCTCATATAAAATAAATATTTAATTAAAAGTGTCCATAATTTGACCTCCTGAGCTGAAGTTTAAGCAGCCTTCTTTGACCATTTTGTTAACATTTTGTGTTGTTGATTTTATTTGTTTTATTTATATCTTCATTTTTTGACCTAATTTGTGGAACATGCCTTTTGTAACAGTGACATTTTGTTCACTTCGCCCTCATGTTGTTATTTTATCTCAGGCCCCAGATTAGTAGACTTCGTGAGATCTCGAAAGGCACAGAGAACCCCAGGATCTGAGTCAGCGTCTGGTCCTGTGCAAAGAGAAGACTTCCTGAATGAACCTCTGCCTAACAGCACGTCTCCACAGTTAGACCACACAATAAAAGCTCAGGAGTCTCAGAGGGATACCATGGAGGATGATGAGGAAGATGAGAATCAGCTTGTAGCTCAACCTCCAATTACAGGTAAGTGAGTTCAGAGCTTGTTTGGCAGAGACAGATCACATCATCTACCACTGCATGGTGAATAAATGTTGTAAAAATGTTATTACACACACAGTCAACCTACGTATTTGAGATTTATTTGACACGTACTACTCAGTATTACAGCATTGCTTTAGTTTCATGAAGAAAGCTGAATGGGGACTTTGGACTGGTCTGCATGCATATAGCATTAGAAAGTAAAACTAATGTACCGGATGTGGTCTTCTCAATCTTGTCAGCACAAGCTGGATGGTTTCCAGTTCGTTATTCACCCTCGGCTTGGAACTCACCACACATATTCAGGACTGTACACTTTGCAGATCTGTCCAGCTAAGCTGTGAGGCCAGCATGCTAAGGCAGATGCATCAGTTTCAATTAGACTGATTAGAGCAGAGTTAGCTAGAGCAAGCACCAATTTGTTTTAAGGTAATAGAGATAAGAGGAACTCATTGACGTTTATGGATGAAGCACATCAGGGGTTACTGTTCAGAGAACAGTCCCTCCGTAGTTGCACTGCTGTCAGCATGTGGTGCTGTATATGTCAATATACATGGGAACTGGAATAGGCTGTTAAACTAACTGAAATTCTAGTGTTTTTTGTTGCTCTCTGTTACTATTAATCATTTGTAATATTGGTGTTATTGATTATTTACAGAGGAGGAGCTGCCAATCAAGCCTCAAAAGGAATGGCTTCACATGGACAAGGTGGAGCCAGAAAAACTGGAATGGACAAGAGACCTTCCTGCACCCAGGGAGCAGAGCACCAAAAAGGTACAAACCACTAAATCTTGGGAGTTGTTTTATTTAGTTGTGCTTGTTAAGGCAAGCATCAGTAGAACTTACTTTTTTAAAACCCCAAAAATGGCACATACTGTAACTAATACTGCATTGTTTGTGCTACAGACATGAATTATACTTCAAATTATTTGGCTTCTCACAATTATGTAAAAATATCCCATACAACTTACTTAGGGTGGGGGATATGACCAAAATCATATATCACGGTATGAGTCGTTTTATTTCACGGTAACGAGATATATCACAATATAGTTATTTTTGCTTTAAATAAGGTCTTTATGATATCAAAAGTTTTGATGCCATAGAAATTTCATAATTCTTTTCACCAGTGTCAATATCACAAAAACGAATACTAACCTAAATAAAAAAATAAAAAAACTCAAGCTCACTGATGACACAGTCAGCGATTAAATAATAATAACAAAACAAACTAACTACAACCAAAAGGACAAAAAACTACAGTAGAACAAACAAATAAGAAATGCTACATACATTGTATAAAATAATCAAATTTATAAAAACACTGCATATTCATCACTGTCAATTAAATATATATTTCTTCTTATTAAAGTTACAAAAGTCATTTAGTCAAAAGCAGTGAGAGATTTTCTCTTTTGTTGTTTGATTAACATGAATGACAGACAGCAGGGATATTAGACTGCTGTCACTTTAAGAGCTGCCCTGATCCAATATACTGTGACACAGTTTCTTTCTCAGCTGTTTGCTTTCACTTAAGACCTACTGTGTTTACGAGGATACTTGCAAAGACGGGCATTTTGACAAGTGTGTCTGTGTATTTAACTGTTCAAGGCCTATAAAGCAGCAAATATAACTTCCTATAAATATAACAAGGCCTATAAAGCAGTTTAATACCTCCACGCTCTATGAGCACGTACAAACCAATACGTTTTCGTGATCACGTAGCACAGCAACATCACGTGAGCGTGTAACCATGATAGAAAGATAGTACAAAATCTCTACCGGTTGACAAATTTCTACCGGTTAATCGTGTCTACCAGTATATCGCCCACCCCTACAACTCACATTGCTGCATGCATGCAAAATGATTGGAGAAGTCTGGCATACATCACCAGAGAGAAGTCTGTCATCTCATTGGAAGATCAAGTTATAACATTTTGAACAAAAATTACAAGGTCAAAACTAAATTAAAAAAGTTAAACATGCATGAAGCAAGATCTACAACATTCATTTAGAAAATAGGGTGACATTTCCTTTTGTACTGACTTTAATAATGTTATTCTATGTTCTTGTTTGCATGAATGCTTTATTAAAGGCTATGCAAGCACGTTTTGATTTTGCTGGCACTCTCATCCCACCCACCAAAGACTTGCCCACCCATTTAGGCTTGCATCACCATGGAGAGGAGCCAGAGGTGAGTAGGTTCAGCTAAATTCTAGAACTGATGCCAGTACTTCTTTTAAAAGGAGTTTGTATTAGTCAAATGCAGGCGTGTGTAGTTGTTGTATATGTGTAATGCTAACTAATTTTCTCTCTCTCCTCTGTTCCAGCTGGCTGGCTACTCGCTGCAAGAGCTTTTCCTCCTCTCTCGCAGTCAGCTGAACCAACAGCGCAATCTGGCCGTCAGCACTCTCGCTAATGTCCTGGCCAAAGTAAACAAGCATTTCAAAATCAAAACAAAAGTTCATTGAGTTGCTGTGAAAAGCTATTATATTTCTTGTAGATTTGAGTCCACAAAGATGGTATTATGAGAGAGTAAATGCTGGATCCTCTTAAAGATGCACATCTATCTATCTGTCTGTCTGGGTTAAGACATGTATATCCACGCCTTTTCATTGCTAATTATTTACTGCTTGTCTTTAGTAAATCATGACTTGATTTTTAATGCCAAAAGAGGGTTTGTGGCTGTTTCTTTCTGTTTCTGTAGATTTGTCTCTCATAAACTCTGTACACGTGTTCTCCATCAGGCCCGGGCTGGTGAGTACATTTCCTCTCTGAAGGGCAGCGTCTTGTCTTCTTTATTGGATGCTGGAGTCCTCTTTCTTCTGCGGTTCTCCCTGGATGACAGTGTGGAGGGTGTGATGTCAGCAGCAGTGCATGCCTTGCGAGCTCTGCTGGTTTCATCTGACGATGAAGTAAGAAACAATCATCTTGCATATCGTTTATGCACTTTTGCCACAAGAAGTTACAAGTAACCACAACATTTCCGATTTGTCTCATCCTAGGAGTGCTTGGATAATGCTTTCTCATGGCTGCTCGGGATGGCAACCTTTCCTTTACTGCCCACTGCTCAGGAGGATGAGGACGAGGATGATGAAGGCTTGGATGAGACCATGAAAGAAACTACTAAAGAGAAAGAAGAAAAAAAAACAGATCATGATGTTGCTAGGCAGGATGTTGTCAAGGTAACTGGGGTCTAAAGCCGAGAACACACTACACGACTGTCAGGTCGATTATGAATGGATTGGTCTTGATGACGGATCGTGCCCAATCGGACCAGGTCTGTTCCAGTTGGGCTCAGTCGCTGTTTTACAGTCAGCAGAAAAAGTTGCATAGTGTGTGGTATCTAAAGATTATAATCTTAGAATTAAAGAACCAGTCGTTTTCACAAAGATTTTTTTAAACATGTTTAATATTTGCGACTGACACCAGCGATTGCAGCTATACAGAGCAGATGCGTTCACTGTCAAACATCATTCACCATTCGTTTTGTAATTTTGTCATATTTTTTTCTTGATTACAAGAAAAATCTCAATAGTTGTTGTTGTTATTTCTTTCTTGACTTTCTTTTAATTCGTTAACACTGCAAATTAAATGGTTTAGTTTTCTCTGCAGTCGAAGAAAATTATAGCCTAAATTATGTCAGTGATTTCTCTAATTTTAAAGATTATCAATAATTCTCTTATTTCGATCTGCAGTCTAATAAAAGTTAAGAAAAAATGTAATTAGCCTATAGGCCTATCTACAGGCTATTTCCATTTTTTCTCAACTTTTAACTTCTTTAAATTTGTTATGAAGAATTTTAAATCAACTTCATAACAAATAGGCTAAGGCGGCTAACGAATTTTCTTCATAACGAATATAGGAACGAATAGCCTAAATCATAAATCACGAATATGACGAAATAAAATTATTCTATAAATATATTAATTATATATAATAGTTTTGTGTCAAATGGATGGGGAAATTAGAGTGCCTTGAATTTATTAAGTGATGTTTTATTTCGTTCTAACCGGTAGCCAAACTCGAGTAGCCTAATGTAACGAAAAAAATTTTACCTACCTTTTTTACTTAGAACCAATTCATATTTAAATCCCTGATTTTAGACATACATGAGATAATTAATAAACTATTGCTGGACTAAACGTTTAAAAATAGGCTAGAAATGTTATAATTAAGGGAATTAAATATAGGCCTAGGCATTTGAAAATACATAATGAAATGTGTCTACTCACTCAATAATTCCAAAAAAGAAAGAGAAGCTTCGGACTTAATGCAAAACATATTCGAAACACATTGCTATGACATTTATTAGGATCACCAACATAGCAGAAAAAAACCCAGAATGTTTTCTGTTAAATTAAGCACATAAGAAAAGTAAAACAGACCTTAATGTTTCAATAGGTAAAAGCGCACCAGTGTTGTCCGCAGTGTTTTGCGAGTTGTTTTTTGTTTTTTTGTTTGGCAGAATTTGTCCAGTCGTGACGCGCCAGTCGTTAAGTGTGTTGTGTAGTGGAGTGACTCAGTCATTAGGTTTGTGCTCCTTTCCGATTGTCAAAGACTAAAATCTGTTCCAGTCGATGGAAACAGTCATTAAGTGTGTTGAGGTCAGTCTTAGAATGTTTCAGCTAGTCATGTAGTATGTCCCCAGCTTTAGATTGCCTTCTTTCTGCAAAGTTAGTTGCTGCTTATGCAGAATTACTGAAATTTCTATGTTGCCATCAGGGCTTTCTGAAGATGCAGGGTCTTACTCGGCTGCGGTATATCCTGGAGGTGGTGCGGCCCTCACCCCGGGTTGTTCTTGATATTCTGGAGGTTCTGATCCGAATCGCTCGCCACTCGACTGCTGCAGCAACACAGGTAGCTGAATTCTGAACCAGTGTTATTTTATACCCTAGTAAGAAAATAATATATTTAAAATATATTTAAGTATATTTCAAGTCTATTAACATATTTACTGTCATATCTCTTGAGACTTGATATAAAAAGGATAATTTAACTTTATTTATACTTGTGCACAATGTACATTTCTTAATATTAAGCCTAAAATATGTTTTAATGTCACCATTTAAGAGGATTGTATGATCTTTGAAATACAGGGCATTTAAAGTGTACCTGAAGTGTACTTGCAATAGTTCCACTTTTGCACAATCAAATATACTTCAGTATATCTTTAGTTGGACTTCAGTACTACATCTGCACAATTAAAGTGCATTAAGTACAAAATTAGTTGTTCCAATTTAGCAGATGTTAAGTATACCAGTTTAGTATACCAAAAGTACAATAGCAACACTATACAACAATAATAACACTGTTCTGAATCCTCTGCACTTTGCTATTACCTTATGATCTGAACTTCACTGCTACATTGTGTTTTTACTTTAGATTTGGACTAATGATACAATTTACACATTGTTTGCACTAGGGATGTGCGGTATACCTGTACTGGAAAAATACCGGTATATATTATATTTCAAACGGTACGATATCATCATTTTGCTCAATTCGGTATTTCATTCGCTGCTGTTCCAAAGTTCACCACTATGTGGCAGTGTTACCCAAACTGACGCGAAACCGGCAAGCATGACAACGGAGAACCGGCAATGGATAAAACAGGTGATGCATTAAGTACAAAATTAGTTGTTCCAATTTAGCAGATGTTAAGTATACCAGTTTAGTATACCAAAAGTACAATAGCAACACTATACAACAATAATAACACTGTTCTGAATCCTCTGCACTTTGCTATTACCTTATGATCTGAACTTCACTGCTACATTGTGTTTTTACTTTAGATTTGGACTAATGATACAATTTACACATTGTTTGCACTAGGGATGTGCGGTATACCGGTACTGGAAAAATACCGGTATATATTATATTTCAAACGGTACGATATCATCATTTTGCTCAATTCGGTATTTCATTCGCTGCTGTTCCAAAGTTCACCACTATGTGGCAGTGTTACCCAAACTGACGCGAAACCGGCAAGCATGACAACGGAGAACCGGCAATGGATAAAACAGGTGAAATTGCACAAATATTTTTGTTGTTTTTCATTAAAATTCAAACCTTTTTCTCGGTCAGATCCTGGACTGTCCGCGGCTAATGAACACTGTGATTGCTGAGTTTCTTCCCTGCTCCTGGGCTCCTGCCACCTCACAGGCTCCATCCTCTTTGTATAGGCTCCCTGTTGCCTTGGCGATGAAGCTGCTTCGTGTTTTAGCAAGTGCTGGGAGGCATGCTTGTGCTAGAATAGTAAGTATCCACTAAATTGTGTAGGTTAACAGTGTCAAGCACCCACTACTTGTGAATAATTATAATACTTATTGCAAAATTGACAGGTCTCCCACCCACTTTAGTAAATGAGTATGATGCTTATTAAAACAAGTGACAGGTCTCCTACTCAGATGTCAAACCATATTGTTGTGCTGAAATATGAATATATATAGTCTTGCTGTGGGCTACTATGCTTTATTGATGTCAAATATAAAAAAATTGGTTAATTAAAGTGGAAAATTAAAGTAAAACTTCCTTAAGGGTGTTCTTATACTCTAAAATTATACATTTAAGTATATACTATCTGAAAGTCAAGCTTGGCCGTAATTAGTCTGTGTGTCTTAGCTTAACTCTCTAGGAGGGAAGGAGGTTTTGTCACGTTTCGTGGTTGTGGAACCATCAGAGATGTTGCTGGAAGCAGGTGAAGCTCTTCGCTGCAGTACAGAGGCGCTGAGGCTGTTCGCAGTGGCTGCCAGCTACGGACAGGCTTGCAATCTGTACACGTGAGGAGGACCAGCAACTTTACACTTTAAAATACAGTGCAAATTGTGAATATACAGATGTTTGGGAATGTATTCAAAGCATGTGATTGTAGTGACGGACGGTGAGTGTGTGCTTCATTCCAGGGACCTGTATCCTGTGCTGGTGAAGAGGTTGCAGGCTGGGAACTGGCGGTGTGCTTCATCTGAGGCTGTGCTGCTTCTGGAGCTGGACCCAATCAGAGCGCTGCTCGTGCTGCTGACTCAGGTCACTCAAACGGCAGGATGCCATGAAGAACTGCAGAGAGACCTAGTCAGGTGAGACTACACTTTTACGATGTAACCATTGTATCAAACAATGTCCAGATGTATCAACAATTGCACATTATATAAATAAAAAAATGTATGTTAAGTGTATGTTTTTGATTGCTACTTTTGATCATTTAAGAAATATTTCAAAACTATTAATATACACTACAGTTCAAATGTTTATGGGTTGATAGGATTTTTTTTACGTTTTTGAAAGAATTCTCTTATTTTCACTGGATGTATTTGATTAAAAATTCAGTACTGTTGTGAAATATTATTACAATTTAAAATAACAATTTTCTATTTTAATACATTTTAAAATGTAATTAATTCCTGTGATTGCAAAGTTGCATTTTCAGCGGTCATTGCTCCAGTCTTCAGTGTCACATGATCCTTCAGAAATCATTCTAATATGCTGATTTGCTGCTCAAGAAACATTTCTTATTATAATCCATGTTGAAAACAGTTCTGCTGCTTAATATTTTATTAATTACTGTAGAATATTAATAGATAGTTTAAAAGAACAGCATGTATTTGAAATATAAATCTTTTGCAAAATGATAAATGTCTTTACTGTTATATTATTAATAATGTTTATAAACATTAATAAATATTATTAAATCAGTTTTAGTGGAATATTCATTGACTGTCATGTTTCGAAATACATCATGCTAATACTAATAAAAACTGTATCATTATTTATCACATTTAATACAATTATTAAACTTAAGTATTTGTTACAAAAATGAATTAAAGATTATGTACTTACATTATACAGTATGTATATATTTAGCTATTTCATACGTCCTGCTGGAACAAAAAGGAAAAGGAAAAGTGCACTAATTAAGCGATTTCATGGATTCCTTAAAAAATAACTAGAAAGAGATTTTGAACTATTTTCTGTTTGATTAGGTTTTACAGTTTGTCAGGAACTGATTGACAGCTGTTAGAGTGTTTTAATTTTTATTAAGAGAAATATGTACCACCATAATTTATGTCTTGCTTTATTAATATTCATATTGCAGTTTCATTTGTGTGCTATAAATTTTGGCTATGGCCTTGAGCTGATTCTCTGTGTGTATTGACAGTGCTCAGGGTGCAGAGTGTCCTCCACCTCCTCCGGTTGTGTGGAGTCATGTGATGGGTCTCCAGCCCACTGTCATTAGCTCTCTCAAGGGCTGTGTGAGAGCACTCGATGGCCCAGCTCAAATGTCAAGTGCTCTGATTCTGCTTCCATCCTACCTGCTCTACATGGAGGCGTATTATTCACAGCTCTGTGTACAAGTAGGTATTAATAAGAGAGAAATAAGCATCAAAGCCAGTGTCACACCAGCGCCCCTAAACAAGGTTATTTTAAAAACAGCCTGTTCTTCTGGACGCATGTAAAATCTACCTGAAGCTTATATTTAGCTACTTTTAAGTACAATCAATAAATGCATATGTTTAGTACATTAGGAGCTCAACTCTCAGAATCAAAGTGGATAATCAGTGGCTTCTTTTAGGTCCAAACTGCCCTTCATTAAAGCTTCTGGTGTGATAAACACCAAAATATGAAAGATTATTCCACGTTATTCAGCGCATTCAGTCAGATCCCTCAAGGCAAGATAATGCTGTCTGCACAAAATAGCTGCTGATAATGTATCTTCACAAAAAAGCATTTTAAGGTTTTTTTTTACACTGCTAGTAGAAATTGAGTGCCATTCACAGCCTTGCGTACTTTTTTCTTTCATATATTTATCCCTTTGGATTATATAAAAATGTAGTTGTGGTAACTTAAACTCTTAGCGCAAATGGGCCTAAAATTACAGATATTTTAAATAATTACCATCCTTTGCATATGTAATGTGAATGATCTGATCTGATTCCTTTGTCAGAGCTCTTTCCAGCCGGTGCAGTGTCTACAGGAACTCGAGTCACTAACTTCATACGTGCTTCTGCCACTGATATCCCATCAGGCCATGCAAAATATAACCAGCTGCTTTAGGTACAGTGAACTATTACTGAGATTTCCTGAGATTAACTACATCTGTTACTATATATATATATATCCTATTAATTCATGTTTTTTTAAAACAAATCAGTTATTAACTTTTAGAAACCTATTGACCGATAGTTTCTGCATTAAGAGAATTTAACATATCCACAACAATATATAATATAATATCATATAATATCATATAATATCATTAATATAATATAATATAATATAAACAGTACACACATATATTATGTAAACAAAAACTTTTATTTTGGATGCGATTAATCGCGATTAATCTTATGACAGCACTAAATATAATATAACATAATATAATATAACAATGAAATAAATGTAATATTAATAAAATAATAATTGTAGTGAGATTTTTTTGTAAGATTAGTAAAGTTAGTAATAATTTTACAATTATAATGACTTTATTTGTGGTGTTACAGTGTACATGCACAATAAAATTACTAATATATGACTGTTAGTTTTTCTTTACAGTTTACTTGTTTGCTTAAAGAATCAAGTAAAATATATTTCCTGAATTCTATAGTGACTATCATTTTTTTAGAAGTTTAATTGTATGTTGTATTATTTTTGCCATTAATATAGTCATTGACGCTCATATGGGAAATAACTAACTAAATAAATAAATATAGGATAAGACAATGCTTATATTGTATGTTAGATCTAAGTAACTTGTAATTTAAAGTCTATAGTGATAATTTTGAGCCATACAAAAAGAACAGATATTGAATAATTGGAACATAATAGTGATTATGTTCTCTTCTCCTGCTGCAGGTCCAGCTCTATGATCTGTAACCCCGGGCTGAGTGTGGCTGGTGGGGAGGTCGTCGCCAGTCTGCCAGGTCTGGGCTGCTCGAGGATGAAGACCTCCAGCACAATAGCAGGGCTCAACTCCCCTCTGTCTCTCCCTACTGCCCTCCTGTACCTGCTGAACACCATCACCTCCATCCACAAAGGCTTAATAAAGAAGGTAAATTCATTTTGATCTCGAAAAAAAGAGCTGGGATAAACTTGGTGGTAAATTTCTTTCTCTTGTCTCTCATCAGTTCAGTCCTCTCATCATATGTTATCTTTACTTTGCTTAATAAATGCAATACATTGTGATTAATTAACATTAACTATGCTTGAAACAGAAAATATAAGTCTTAAATATGCTGGTTTTATTTGAAAAGCATTCGGTTAGTTAATGAAATGAATTGTAATGCCTTACTTTTATTGTGACTTAATACTTTTTAGGTTCCAGTTGATCCAGAGGTGGCCAAACACGCCACCTTGTTCCACCAAGTATCGCTGGCTCTAGTGTCCTGGCTGCTGCCTGGCAGTGAATATCAGGCACATGAACTCATGTCTGTCATGACCTTCAGTCACAGCCTCCTTCCGTAAGTCTCTGATGTTTGCCGTAAAGCTCTCGTTTGTCTCATATATTGTATGATTACAGTGACTTCAGTCACACAAAATATTCACATTTTGTTATATAGTGGCTCCAGACACATAAGCTAGACCAGGGGTGTCCAAACTCGGTCCTGGAGGACCGGTGTCCTGAAGAGTTTAGCTCCAACCCCAATTAAACACACCTGAACCAGCCTCGAAAAAAAGAGCTGAGATAAACTTGGTGGTAAATTTCTTTCTCTTGTCTCTCATCAGTTCAGTCCTCTCATCCTCTCGGACTCTGTACTGAGTTATCTGCGGTCTTGTATCGGAGCCATGCCCTCTGTTTCTCACATGAGTGCCTGGATTTTATGCCACGAGCACCACCTGCTGTATCTGCTGCTCAGACTGGCTCACAAGCTGGTAACTGCAACCTCTGCATTTAACAAATTTGCATACATTTTATGCATGTTTACACACACTCACATACATATATTTATATATAATTTTTTATATTTAATATGTTTT